TTGAAAGAGTAAAGCCATCTTTCCCTGTTCAGACTACCTAACTGCCACACTGGACAGTACAGACAGATGCTTAATTAAAAAAAACCCACACTATTGATTGAAAATGTTGTTTTAGGAAGAAACCATTACTCAAAAACCTCTGCAGACTCAATATTACTTATGCTGCAAGTCAAGGGAGTAGGAAGGTTGCTAACTGTAAAACTAAAACCAAAAAAACCTTCAGGTGTGTCAATGACATATATATATATGTATGCATACATATTTATAAGCCCAGTTTTTCAACTCATCTCTATTTTTTCTTTTATTAAACCGCATACTCTATTTAAGATTTATTCTCAATATAAAGCTAAACAACTGAAAAAAAACCAACAGAATCCACAAGAAGTCTGGCTTGTAGGCTTGTGAAATCCAATGCTGACAAGAATTAGCCACCAGAAGTTAATCCATTTTAATCCATTTCCCAGGTCATTCCTATAAATGAGTGACTACATCCAATATCACCAGCATGCCTGTTTGGCAGGGTTCAATAGGTATTGTCATTCCCCACAACAACCAGACAACTAGTGTCTCTCCACTTTCCACACCTCACACAAAGATTTTGATAAGACACGCACAGCCACTTAACATATTTGTGTTAGAGCTGCATTTCACTTCAACTGTGGCAGAACTAGGCCCTTCAAGGGTGGAACCTGATGGTCTTGGAGGTCTTTGCCAGCCTTAATGATTCTATGATTCAAGACAGTAGGCACTGTTTTGTCTACCTCTTCTCCAAGTGTTGACTACAGTCTTCCCAATTAACCTCTGTAAACTAGAAATTGTCAGATGCACAACCAGAGTTTCGGCAACAATATGCTATCATGTAACCATAGTGATATTACATTAGTTTTTATACTGCTAATTAAGATATGAAGCAGTATATTTGCATTAATTTTAGCAACATGCTAAAAGCTGTTTAAAACACAATCTTGACCCAATTGTTGTCTCAAGATAAGGACAGGTCAAGCATTGTCCTCTGTGTCTGAAACTGCACTTGAAACATGTGCATTGTTGCTCTAAGGACAGCACTACCCGAAAAGTTAAAGGTTTTGAGTTTTCTTTGGTGGCTTTTGGGGTTGGAGTTTTTTGTGTTTGGGATTTTTCTTAAGGTAATTAAATTTCTCAAATACTCTGAAGTAGCTGTATGAATACAGATGTACACAGAACCTTAATTTTCCTCAGTTCACTGCAAGTCTTATTCACCTGATACTGTTACACTAAACTTGTTATGTGAAACAAGCTTTTCATTCTTTTCTTGTCCATCCTTCTCAGACACTGGAAAGAAGCACAGCCATGTATCTTCCCTTTCTCATGAATGACAGGGCCACAACATTCTGTCTTCCTTTTCTTTTAAGCCTTTCCTTGATAAACAATCCCAAAAGGAACTACACTGCCTCAGCAGTCAACTATGACACAGGATGACAGAGACATAGTACTAAGTGGCAGTGCTGCACCAAGAATCCTAACACATTTCTTAACAGATAGAGGCAAAGGTGAAACACTGGACTAAAATTCAGAAAATCTGACAGGAGTTGTCTGTTAGCCTGATGCAACCTTCTGCAAATCACACCTCATGCCTCAGCTTCCAATTTATAAAATAGGATAGAGATCTCCTTCTCCCACTATTGAAATTGCTTCTAATGTGTTACATTTATCAGACTTACTGTGAAATGAACTTTCCTTACAACAGACATAAATAAGCAAGTAAATCAAGACATGAATCCTAATTAAATTAATACTAGTGGTCAACTCAACAATTTTGTAACAGATGTCAAATTTCGATGGAGTTTGACTTGTGCAGCTCATCCTGCCTTCCACTGGTAAAAAGTCACAGCAGCTGCTCACATAAAGATGAACACAGAAAGGATTAAAGGATAGCAGCAGCAAGATGTTAAACACTTTAGAGCCAAGCCAGAGGAATGAGGCAACTTATACATTTTATGGATCCATAAAGGAAACAGAATGAAGGGAAGGAAAGTTCAGAAGTTTATTGAACAGAAACATTTTTACAGTGCTTTCAGCTTGCAGCAGTGGCCTCATTAGAACTCCTGGCACCTCTGATTTCACTAGAAGTGGCCAGCACAGTCCATCCTCAGATGGACTGGTTAGTCAACTATGGTTCAATGAGCAAGGCTCTCACTCACCATCACTGCACAATGAGCACACTGTCACCTGGAGAAGCACTTCCTCTTTCATATCTAACTGTACACACAAATACCACTTAAATAGTATTTCAACAGACAAAATTTAATTCTAAAATAAAGTCACTTTGTGGCACTAAAATTGCTTTAGAAACTTTTTTTCTCCTAATGGACTCGTCTACTACTGTCAGCGAAAAAGATGCCAAAATACTCATTACACAGCACCTATCCTGCTCTCCTTTGTTCCTCTACCATGCCAACTGATTTGTGCAGCTTACTCTAGATATCATCTTTGAAAGACAATTTCTGCCTTGAATTACTAGTGCCTTGTGAATTGATTACATTTTCTTTCACATCAGTTCATCTGTGACTCTAGAATGAAAACACGAAGACACTTTGGAATCAGCGACTTTAACCCATATTAAACACAGCTAGATAAATAGCCAAAGTATGGCTTCTAAATCAAGATTAAAAATAACTTGTCTGAAACTGAAAGGTTCCCCTCCACGCACATATTTACATAAGGAGCCACAAAAAAAGCCTCACCCTTCTAAAGTAAAAGGAGAAGTTCATTTCCTAGTACAAAAGATTAACATGGCCTTGAGCATTTACATTTGTCAGCACCAAAACTCCATACTGGTTAAGTGGTGCTTTTATGTTTTCACTAGAACAGCTGATAGAAACCTACCAAGGTTTCAGTGGCAAGGACAGGATTTCTTAAAAGTTTATTTTGTATGAAATTTTACAAAAGTAGAGTGGCCACGTCAATCTGATGATGAGCAAGCAGGTTTATAGGGAGATAGAATTTCATGAAAATTAGTAGATAGAGCTAAAAACCCTGTTTTCAAGCACGCAAATCCTCCTGCAAATCCTGTACGTTACAAGAGCTACAAAGACATTCTGTATTTTGAAAACAGCAACATAATGATTCAGGAACAGCAGTCAGTCAAGTACTAAAAGACACAACCAGCATCTCCTGCATTTCAAAGACAGCCACCATGATTCTGTAGCCTAATTAGAGGTTCAAATTCCCTCTTCTTGGTTGATTTCTGTGTTTGTTTTTTCTTTGGTTGTTTGCTTGTTTTTTCATCTCTTTACATAGAAACATAATATTAGGAACACTGAATGTGGTGGAAAAAGAACTTACCACAGTCTTGACCACTGATTTTGATAAATGGGTAGATAAACAGCATGACTGAACCTCGAAGCCATGCTACCATGCCATTAAACAAAGGAGCAGAACCCAAAGGGAAGATTAGAAGGCATCTCCTTTATCTAATTATATCTCTGTAATAGGTACTGTTGTTTCAGCAATAAAGTTCCAACTTTCAGTGCAAGCATCCTAACTAGGCAGTTCAGGCAGCTGTGATGAAAGACAGCTCACTCCTATAAATCACAGGTAAAGTCATCCAAGGTGCTCAAATCCAGGAAGAGATTTCAAGACTATTAAGAGCTGGAGAAGATACCAAAATTCAAGACAATATTTTGTCTCTCTAACTAAAGGCAGCAAAAATTTGTGACTGCAGGCAGTTCCTAAGTTATTCCTAGACACCCAACACTCTGATACAAAACATTCAGTTTCAGCTCTTTTTTAAACATGTCACTCCTAGAGCCATAAAACTACCATAGTAATACCACCACATCTCACCCCTTCCTCTCCAAGAAACTGAATATAGCTCGAATCTTGTTAATGAGGACTCTTGAAGCTTTCTGTTCTGAATTAGAATAAGTTCTACTCTTCAAGGCAACATTAGTTAAAGTAGAAAGTTTATGTCCACTGACTGATCACAGTCATTCTTTGAGAATTCCTTACCTATACATGCTGCTGTTTTCTGAAAACCATGCAGAACAGAGATTGAAGTAACACAGTCCCATGATACTACACTACAACTTCTGCAAAAAGTCTTTTACATAATGCAGTAACTCATGTAAATCACTTTGCAACATTGAAAAAGTTCTCAGACACAGAACCAGAGTTCAAGAGACCCCAGTTCTGTTCCAGTCATTATCTGTCACCCTGGACTTAAGTTTTCTGTAACTACATGGAACGCCAGAGACAAATTAACACGTTCTCATTGTTACTACCACAAAATTACCTTGCAATGCATGCTGTCTCAGCAAGAACCAGCTATTTACAATGAATGTACACTACAAGATGGCCTACAAGAAATTTCTGCAGTGCACATCTGTATTGCCAGAGAGCTATAAAGCAGCAAGCTATGCTATTTCTCATTAAATGAAAGTAACGTTTCTAGTTAGTGCAACTAAGGCACTTACGCTGTGAATTCACGACCACGGAACAGTGCCCCACCGTTCTCCTGACCAGGCCAGGCTCTAGTGTTATTGGAGAAAGCACTGTAGCTAGATGGTAGCACTTAATTTTTCTGTGATCTGCTAGAGATTCTCAAGACTTTATAAGTGTGCTAAGAAACCTTCACATCACCTTTTATGAAACCTGCCGGCCAGCGTGAACAATGAAGAGTTTCAGACCAAGTAACCCCAAGCAGCCTCGTCCCACTGCCAGGTCTGACAGGACGAGCGCCCCCCGCCCTTTGACACAGGCTGCCAAGCCTCCCAGTTCCCCAAACGCTGCCTATCTGCTCGCCCGTCGCTCCACGTTCTTCCCAGTCCGTGAGATTCCCCCCTCTCCGCCTCGGACGGGGCCCGGACCAGCCGGGCAGAGGCGGCGGGCCCGGCGCTGCGGGGCCGGGGCGCTGCCCGGCAGAAGCGCGAGGGCGGCTCTGCCCCGCGGCGCGAAGGCGCGCAGGCCGGGCCCCTGCCCGGCAAGGCGGAAGCGGCGCCCGGCGGCGCAGGACCGAGACCGACCCTCCCCGCTCACCTGCCCCGGCGGGGAGGCCTCGCCGCAGAGCGCGGGGCTCCAGGGGCCGAGGCGGCCGCTCCCGCAGCCTCCGGCCGCCCCTCATCCACAGCCGGGCGCGCGCCGCTCCGCCGCCGCCTCGCGCGCCGCCATCTCGGCCCCGTCACCCGGGAGACGCTCCCGCCCCTTCCGGCCGCGCCGCTTCTCTCCGTCCCGATCCCGGAGCACGGCCGGGCCGCGCTGCCCCCGGCGGCCTCACCACGCCCGCCTCTCCCCCGCGGCTCGGCACGGCGGCCGCCGGGCCACGGGGGAGTCCCACCCGGGTCTTTGTCCCTTGGAGGAACTGCGATCAAAAGACATTGTATTTTAGCGGACTCAAGGTGCTGCACACGTGGCAGTAAAGGTTCCCGTGTGGTCGTCGGGATGCTGAGCTGTAAATCTGGTTGCTACTAAAAAACAAACGCCGCTGACAGGTGCGGCCTCAGTGTCCCAGTTTGTTCACCGAGGTGATTCGAGAAGTGCTTGTCCGTGTTAAGTGATCTAACGGGCTGGTTAAGTGATCTAACGTAAGATTTTCCAGAGCTCTCTAAGCCTCCACTTCTGTTTCATTCCGTATGTGAGGTAAAGGGAGGTTTTGTCCCCTTCTCACAGGGAAACCTAGTCAATTCTAGGGCAGCACTAATATAATTTCCCTTCAACTCCAAGCCATGATGCCCAGCTCTCTTTGCACTGTTTAAGCATCTTCCCTTAAACCCTTCCTCTTCTGCTAGTACAGTCAGCCTGCTGCTGTTCTCTGTAGCTGGGTTCTGGCAGTGAGGAGATGGGTGATAGGGGGAAGGCTCTTGTGAGAAGGCACTGGTATCATACAGTCCCATGTCCTGACAGACACTGTGACTGCATTTCCCCAACGCTTCATCAGGAAACAGGCCCCAAAGGGACACGGAGCCAAGCATGATATGCTGGCTGTGGGGCAAAGACCTCGTCAGCCAGGATGGGGGCAGGGCAGTCTGGAGACAGCTCAGAGTCCAGCCTGCAGGGCAGGATTCTGGTGATGAGCAGATCTGAGGATGAGCCAAGAGTCAGTGTGCTGGTCCAAGATCAATAGAGTCCTTAGCGAGTCAGGGCACAGTTGTGGCCAAGCTCAAGCACTTCTACAGTGTTACTCATGTGGGATTGAAACGCTTAACGCCTGCAGAACCTGCCTTCAATAAGAGAAACTCTGGTTTTAAGACCATTTCAAAAGCATTTGTGTAGCAGGGTTATACCTCTCAATATAGCTTTCTTTCTAAAGCTGAAACTAGAAAATAATCTTCATCTGCAGTCACACAGAAAAGCAAAACTGCTAGCATGACACACTGGGAAAGGTTAGGTTATGACAATAACCAGTTCCATTTCTTTTGGGAATGCATTCAGGTTGTGTCATTACTGTCTATATACTCAAAAGGGAATATGACACAGTGAGAAGAAAGTATTTTAACATATGCATATAAACACCCACACTTAATATAAAAACTGCCAGAGTGGTTCACCCACACCATCCTCCCAAGTGCACAACAGACCTATGTGTGGCTGTTGCATCAATGAAAAAATCCTGGAAATTGGCAGACCACTAATGAAAAATAATTACCTTCTTAAAAACATAATTATGCAATTTCAAAATTAGTAATAATATAAACATCATTTATAAAAGAAATGTTCACAGGAATAAATACTTCTTTGTTTAAAAATTTCATTAACCCTCAGCTCTGAAGTTTTAAACTTGGATTCCTTTGGATCAATTAATTTTCCTAAAGAGATCCTCTGAAATCTTAGATATTTCATTGCCACATCAAACGCAGTTCTGCTACAGTAAACTAATCAAGCTTTTGAGGGACCTATTCTTTTTAAATTAATGCTTTTGTTTTACAGATATTAAGGCATAAACGTATTGAACCACATTATCTGACAATTTGCAAGTTTGTTAGTGTCATTTCTTTTATATCTAAAGCAATTTCCATCATTTCAGAGGCTGATGGTTCCATCATCCTGATACATTCATGTTTCTATTTAATAACCTCATTCTGTCTGTAAAAGGGATACATTCTCTTTCAATATGAATTCTCCCTCCTACGGGATATGCACTTCATTTACTTGTGTGCTCTCTTGCTGTTAAGTCTTTTATTAAAGCTACAAATAGTTTTTTAACTAAGGGTACCTTTCCTCAATTACAGTCCTGTTGAATTGTGTAGTACCTCAAGTTTCACATTTCCAGAAGAAATCTTACCTTTAACAAGTGTTTGATTCTGGTCAAAGTAGGGTTTTCATAGTTCTAACCACAGAAAAATTACAGGTTCTTACTACAAAATTCAGAAGTAATTTTCTATACAGCTGATACAAATTCGTATTCTGCTCTTTGAAATTTTGTCATGTTGAAATTTTAGATGAGAAGAGGCAGTTCCACTGTTAGATACATTTTCCATTTCTTTGTAGTATTTCTAAGCGCCTATTTTGGGTAATATCTAAGCACTGTCCAAAGAGTTTGACTAAGTCTAGGCAAGTATGTAGCCTAGCCTGTAGAAAATATGACCCCTTTCCCAAGTAAGTAGTCAAGTATTCATGAAAGCCTCTTTTCACTCTAAAGGTCTTCCTGGCTGAAGCTCTACTCTCTGCTGGGTCTGCCAGCATACCTTAAATTCCTTCCCTTATTCCCACTAAGGCTTGATGTGCCTTGTAGGGGAAATTTCCAGGCCAATGATCTTGGTGAGAGGTCTTTGTAGGAAAATTCAGCCGACTCTTATCAAGCATATAATAAAGAAAAAATCATGTTCAAAACTGAAAAGGAGCATACCCCAAGTAGTTTTTTTGGAAGCAGTGGCCAAGAGAGCCCAAAGAGCAGCAGTGACTGCCTAGATCTCCCTGAGCTCAGAGGAGACTGTGCAGGTTTGGTCTTCTACTGGAGTGGGCAATTTTGTTGCTCCCCTGAGAATGATTCAGCATCCTGCTTCCTTTAAGCATCTCTCTGTGAAACACTGACCTTCATGCTGGAGCCCAGACAGCTGACAGGACCTTTTGTGGGGCAGAACTCCCAGTCAGCCTAGCAGAATACCCACCTCAGGTTGAAACAGGTTGGTTGGTTTGTTCAGTGCTGTAAAGAACTTAGAGGTGATGAAAAATGTGTGATTTTAACCTGATGCTGAGAAATTTCCCGGGGATATTATTTGGGTCCTTCTCTCTGTTGACAGCATTGGCTTCTCCTTCCTAGGGTGTTTCTGTACTTAGTGTTAGTCAGTTAATATACAGAATGCTGTGAATATGTGCCAGAACCCAGTTTTCCCTGTCCCTGCAATATTCCTCATATTTCTCAACTACAAATTAGGGAGAGGATAATGGGACCTCTTTTTTATACAGCTAATTTATCACTTCATTACTAAATAGGAAATCTTCCTTTCCATCCTGTTGTATGTAGATATTAAGTAATCTTGCTTGACTCACACACCTTTCTTGTGTTTCTTAGCAAGGAAAAAAAATATGTAAGTTCAAGTTATTAGAAGCTGCATCTTAGGCATCGTGTTAGCATTTGAATTCAAATCCTCTAAATACTTGAGTATCTAGCATGTAGCTTTATAAAAATAGTTATCCACATGGATATGCTTGTGTGTTCGTGCCTGCATGTATATGATTTGCATTTAGGGAAACGAGAGTGAATAGTATGGAAAGGTAAGATCGTGAAGTTTTGTTGGCAAATGCATTTAGGAAGGCAAAAAATTTTCTTTTTAATTTTTTTGTTGTTGTTGTTTTGTATGTTTGTTTTTTGAGGGGAGAGAATAATGAAACTGTTCTTTGTTTCGTCATACCTCAGCATTAGTTAGAAGAATTTCTACTTATTGGTAAAACATGAGTTTCTTTTATTCATGCTCTTTGCCAGATCTTATTGTCTAATTTCAAAATAATTATTCTAAAGTTAGGAAAATAACTTAATAGAAAAAAATCTCCCTTTTCCCATTTAAAAACAAATCAATTCAGCAAAAAAGACCTATGTGATAGCCCCAAAACTTGGGTTTTTATACATACACCTACGTATCAAGACCAAGGGGCCATTGGAAGTGTTGAGTTCCCAAAATCTGACTGAAATCAATGCCAGCCTCAAACAAACTTTATTGTCTCAGTAAACTTTGGATTGGGAAATCTAGATCCCAGTTTTGACGGGGGGAAAAAAACAGAAACTCGTTTTGATTATAGCTCTGTAACCTCATGTATATACAGCCTAGGGGAGACAGCAATCAAAGACGAGGTATGATGAAGGGAAAGAAATACATTTTCTCCTTCATTATCAAGTTTTTCTGTTCACTGTATGATGGTGAAGAAGCATTTTAAGTTATCTTTATCATTACAGCAGTCAGGAGGCAGAAACGGGGCTTAGATCACACTCTTTCTGATCTTTATTCAACAAAGGAAGAACAATCCTCTTCTGTCCATTGACTATTTGATGAAACACCTCCTGCAAAATACATGTCAACAGGCATTTTGAAATGTAATTTGAACAACTCAAACGTTAGCAAATTGATCCAGGATTTGGGCAGAATCTTATCTCAGAATGAAATGTGCATGAAAAAGTTAACAAACATTAGCTGTAGTTTTCCAATCCAAGTTACAAAACAAGATTTTGTAATGCTTAACTGTTACCGTCTCTTTCATCGTAGCTTCCGAGGGCATTGCGTTCCACCCAGCTACACTGGTACTGAGCCCAACAACTTCTGCTTGTGTTCAACTAAAGCAGCATTTCTCCTTATGGAAAGTATTTTGGTTTTCCTTTCTCTGCTGGAAGAAACTGAGCAACTGCTGCCAGCTGCAGGGAACATGCATTGGCGAGTACTGTATTTCCAGAAAGTTCTTCCATAAAGACATGTTGTACTCAGGAAAGTACTGAAAAATGAAGGATCCACCATATTTCTTCATGGTTTGTCCTAGTAATTAAACAGCTGTACTTTTAAATTTGAATCTGTCTGGCTTCTATTTCCAGCAACTCTTTACACCATTCTCTGTTAAAGTGCCCTTTGTTTCTTTTTGTCTCCCTGAGGAGATTATGACACATCACAACCATATTTTGTATCATCTTTCTTTTCAATAGAGTAACATTGGGAGATTTTTAAAGCTTAACTAGCAGTGTTAGCCCTCAATAAATTCTTTTCTCTTGCAGTGTTCCTTTTTTTTCTTCTTCCTTTCAAAATTGTGAGTTGTACATTATGAGTGTCAGACTCACCAATGCAGCGTGCAAAGCTAAGATCAATGTTATCTCTGCTCATTTGTATTCAAAGATCCCACGGAAACAGATGATTTTTTCACTATGATTTCCAGTGTCATTGCTTTCCAGGGAATTGTGTTGCTTTTGCCCTGTGCACTAGATGAGAAAGCCCAACACTACACTGACTTTGTACACAGGCAGTGGATCAGAGCCAGCCAGCAGAAGAGGCCAGGTTGCTCTGCCCTTGTCAGATTTTATCAGCAGCAACTTTATACCTTACCTCAGGATCAATGATTTAAAGGATGGATACCCCTTTCCTAGTGACTTCAACAAACAGGAATCAGCAGGGATTTATTAGAAACTTTTTATGATCTGCTACTAAATCACGTCACTAGTCATAAGGTAAGCAAAAAGAACGTTTTTAAGAATAGTACTGTTCAGGTGGAAAGCACCATGGTAAATTTGAAATACACTGAAGTGAGATTAGGCCTTTTGTCATTCCAAGCAGAATGCTGATTAACCAATTTATTACACTAAAGTGGTGAAGTATAAATTATTTATGAGGAAAGGAATTTATTTTTCCTCATCTTGAGCTCCAGTCATTATGCATTTGGCTCTGCAGCCACAGCTGTTTCTTTTAGAAACTGAATAGCTGAGAAAAAACAGGCCAAGTAGAACACAACTGATTTCAATTGCAAATACTTAGAAATTTAAATAAAGCCAAAGAAATACAGCAGATAGAAGGACTGGATATTTTCATTGCTCCAATGAAAACTCAATCACTAAGTAAGTTAAAGCCAAACTCTCAAGGTGCCACTACAATTAAACATATTCCATAAGATGAGGACATGGGCAAGGTATTGCAGAGCTGTCACCCCAAAGGACCCTCCAGAGAGAAATGAGAAGCAATAAATATTTTGCAATGGCACTAATGGACTCTTACTGAATTTGAGCAGATTTCAGATGTACTTATTGTCCAAGTGGTAAAGGTCCATACTGAAACATTACAGCAGTAAACAAGAATGAAGAACAACGGGGGAAAAAGGAGGGAAATAAACCCCAAAAAACCAGCTGGAGAACTTGTGATGGCAAAATCACAATGATCTGTCTAAGAAGTGAATGTAAGTTTGACATGCCAGCAGAATTTCTTGGTGATGTCACTGGTTTGTAACATTTTTTGACTGGACTATGTCAATATGGAGAAGTACTCATGGGAAAATAATTATCAAACAAATTAGAATCTAACCAATTTCAGTTCATTGTGCACTTTATACCCCTCAGGGCCTAACCGAGGGAGAGGCTAAGTTAACTTTTTTCTATTGCCCTTTCATTGACAGCAGTAGAACTATTCAATTCATTGTCACATAGAATTTGGATTAATGTGCATCCAGAGCTATACCAATTTACTCTAGCTGTTATCCAACCCATTTTTTCATTGTCTATTTACAAATTGGTTTTATTTTTTTGCAGACTTGTCTACAGAAAGACTGGGCTAAATCAGCTACTAGAGTGTATATAGACTGGGCTGCCAGATAAAAGAAGTATATGCCCACAGCCAAGGTAATTCACATCAGTTCTAAGTTGTCACTTCTTGGCTATCTAGTTCTGTGTGCTGTCTGCCTCTGTAAGGAACTGATATATTTAGTGACATTGAAAATGCTGAAATTTTGAAGAAAAATCAGTTAATGCATCTATCTGTCTGTATGTGCTACAGGTATGGAACCTTTAACAACATAGGTCATCTTATTTTTCAGTATGTGGAAAAAAAACCCTCATAAGGACAATGTTCTGACTTACTCCTGAATGTTACTGTTTTCAACACTCAACCAAATGAGTAGAAACTGAGGCTCTGCAGAGAACAGTTTGCAGAACAAGCTACCCTATGCATCTGAGAATAAACCTGCAGGTAAAAAGAAACCATCTCCCATTGCTGATATCGCTCCCAATCTGACTTCATTCTTAGAAGATCCATCAAGATACCTCTGACCAGCATAGTCCAGTGTAATTTGGGTCTGCACATATTGTCCGACGTTTTTTGCCTAGCTACTGAATGGAGGCTGCACTGGTGTTATTGACAGAACTCATGTGGGGAACACACAGCGTTGGGCTGCTTGTATCAGAGAGCAGCCAGTGTTACCTGAGACAGGAGCCACTGGTGTATCTCTGGAAGGCAGTCACTCTCTCCCCTTCCTTCTGGGTCTCTGAACGCTTTTGCATTTAAAGCCACTCTGGGCAGAACTTTACAGCTTATTTTTGGAAGCCAGTGAAAGAGCTATTTGTCAAACCTTTAACTTCAGATTGGTCAGCACAATTTTCTGAAAATTTATACAGCGTTCAGTCTTCATTCTGTGCCAAGAATGAGTTGCCTGCAGAGAACTACACTGCACTTATAGCAATTGCACTTGAACCGTCATGTTCTAGGTGGAATCTCAAATGTTTTCTAATTAGACAACAAGCCTTCCACAGTTCACTGTATGAATACCTTAAATCTCAGCCTCTCCCACCACAGTGAAGGAAATCAAGTGGAAACTGAAGCAAGTTGCTGTGTGTCCATGACATGCTGGAGCCGTTCATCAAGCAAAGACTTCTAAAATCCTATGCAATATATTACATCAGCAAAGACCTCTAAGAACAAGACTACAGATGGTATTTTATAGCTTTGACATATATAAAACACACTCAGCTAGCATATATTTTGCTAGATCATGTGAAGAAACATTCTGTACTCCATCAATTACTAGTATTGGGTAAATCAAGTGTAGAATGAAGAGCTCAGAAAAATTACATATATGCACTTCAGACAGAACATACTTGTAGCAAATGAAGTTGCAGTCCAAAACTGAATTAATATACTGTGCTGGTTTTGGCTGGGATAGAATTAATTTTCTTCATAGTAGCTATTATGGGGCTGTGTTTTGGATTTGTGCTGAAAACAGTGTTAATATAAGGGTGTTTTTGTTATCCCTGAGCAGAGCTTACACAAAGCCAAGGCCTTTTCTCCTTCTCACCCCACCCCACCAGCAAGGGGGCTGGGGGTGCACAAGGAGCTGGGAGAGGACACAGCTGAGACAGCTGACCCCAACTGCCCACAGCAACATCCCAGATCATATGATGACAAGCTCAACACATTAAGCTGGGGGAAGAAGGAAGGGGGGGATGTTTGGAGTGATGGTATTTGTCTTCCAAAATAACTTAGGAGCCCCACATTCCTGGAGATGGCTGAACACCTGACTGCCAACGGGAAGTCGTGAATTAATTCCTTGGTTCGCTTTGTTTGTGTGCATGGCTTTTGCCTTACCTGTTTAACTGTCTTTATCTCAATCCATGGGTGTTCTCACTTACTCTTCTGATTCTTTGCCCCATCCCACCAAGGAGGGAGTGAGCAAGCAGTTGTGTGGGGCTGAGTTGCCAGCTGGGGTTAATCCATGACACATAACTGAATGAAAAAAAACTTTTTCAAAAACAAGGTGGACCTTTAGGTGGAAGAAAGAACTTTCTTATATCTGACACTCACCATTATTTATCAGCATGGAGACAGTGACATGCAGCAAGTATGCTCAAACTGACATGAAGACAGATTTAAAACAATACAGCCTAGGTTGTCAGGAGGAATATCTTCAGCAGATTGCTGATCCTGGGGTCCTGTGATATTACACTTTTGAGTAGACAAAAGGTATTCATGACCAATTGCATCCTGTCTTATTGATGTTGATATTGCCCTGGTTACACAGACTCCTGTCTAGTGCCAAATTTCACCTTTGGCTGTTGCCAGACTCTTCTCTCCCAGCTATTCCCCAGTTTGAGCAGACTGTAGCACTCTCAGCCTGGCACGGACATCCTGCCGCTGCTGTTTCGCCCCGGCCCAGTGCAGGTGATGCTCTCGGCTTCGCACCGCTCGCTTCCAGCGCGGGCAGCACGCACTTGGCTCTGTACCACAGCAGTTTTTGTTCTCTCCGAAAGCCGCGGGACTGGGAGGGACTGGAGAGCGGAGGGGGAGCAGCCGCCGCCCTCCCCATGAGTGGGGCGCGGGTGCCCCCGAGCGGCTCCTCGGCTGGGACTCACAGCGACCACGGAACGGGCACAGCCCACTGCCACAGGAATGACTTTCTAAAGGGCACTTTTTAGAGTATTCTAGTTAGGAGCATGAATATTTATGTTGGGTCAATTAATTTTTCACAGTAGCCACCGAGACACAACAGCATTCAATTCCTCATTCAGTTTCTGCTTATACTTCACTTCATAGTCAATCAAACACCTCAAAGAATTTAAAATCCATCACGTTAAGAGACTTATGCTGGCAAATTACTGAATTATACTTCAATTTCAGAAGGCCCCAAAGATCCAATAAATAAAAATTACCAGCAATATGGGCAAAGCTAGAAAATTGTAGTTGTTGTGGATTAGAATACTGACTCTTTAATTAAAGTAAATGTGAAAAGAATTATTGATGCAAGATAAAACTGCCTTTTTTTTTTTTTAAGAATTCAACCTCTTATGAATTTCTGAGTAAATATTTGTAACACAAGTCAGAGCCTTCAAACAACTCCTTCTCTAGAAAAATGTTACTGAGGCACACCACCACCACTTTCATGTAGTCCTAACTTCTTCATCAGAAAGGATGTGCTCAATAGTATGTCATATTCCATTTCCCACAATTTTTACCCCCTTTCACATTCGTGGTCACCATACTTGTTAACTGCGCTTCTTTTTGAAAATCTGAGCAAGGTTTCACAAATGTATAAAATTACAGATCGTTAAAAACTGGAACAGGTGACACCGTATTACATGCACTCACAGAGAGAAGAGCCTTAGAGCCATGAGTCCACAAAATTTTTTATTAAAATAACACCAAGTTTAAGAAATCAATGCAGTGCAAAGAAATTTCAATTTGTCATACAAAAAAAATTAATGGTTTTCCATCCTTAAGTATGTAAACTGCATTCCAATCCTGACGCGACTGATGCAATACAGAAACAGAAACATTGTAACGCAGATGAAGGTCAAAGTTAAAGACTGGCATGCTGAGCAAGGAAGGTTCTTATTCTTTGCAAGAGTTCTTTCTTTACACTGTCTGGTACCAACGCTGAAACACAAATAAGAAGGCAAAAAGTCAAAAAGACAAAACAAAACATATGCCAATACCGAACTCTCATAACAGTGACATCGATCCTTTTTTTGTTCTCACAGTTCTGTTAATACATTGAGTAATTGAAACTACTTGATTTTCACATAGCACATCTATATTTTTCCCATTAAAAATAGGCTAAAATTGAGGTCTATTGAGAACACTGTTGTTACTGGTAAGTTTTTTTGCCTAGTCATAGTCTAGAAAATAGCAAAGTTTGAGGGAAAGGATTATTGAATACTAAACAGGATATAATCACCACAAGTGTGATTATCCCACCTTTTTTCTTCACAAATTTAAAACCAAAAATCTCAGCCATGACCTCAGAGTAAAGGTCTCCAGCAAGTTATTTTGAAAGCCTATTTTTATTTAAAACTGAATGATGTTTCTCCCACTAACATCAAAGTTTATTAGGGAGCCCAAGAGGAACAATATAAAGAAGACTTAAGTGATTCCACTTTTTCCTCTATCTGTATGCTGTGCCCTTTACTCTTGCCATTCCCATTACACTAAAGCTGTTAGTCCAGATTTTCCATCTCAAAGGATCATGAATTTTAAAACATCTGTGCTGCATACTCCAACTCTTCTTGGGACCATTAAGTCAATTATAAAGATGAATACAGACATGACTAAATAATGTAACCTGCAAAGTAGTCTACACACACAGCTCATTATAGATTTTGAATGACTGTTACACAATACATATTCACATGTTTTATTTGTTGTTAAAATTAGGCTACTAACATTTTTCCTTGAATCCAACACAAGCAAGTTCATAATGTTGCTTTCAAAACATTAATGAAATAGAGGCAGGTATGTTTATCGATGTACTACCACATCCATGTATGCATTTTCTTACCTCTGCCTTTAGGAGTGATTTCTGCCACCAAATCATCAACAGTAACATGCTCTAATCCTTTCTCTTTAATGACATCTGGGGAAGACCAAGACCAATATTTTAAGTCTTTTAATCCATTCATTAGAAGACAAAACCTGTGCCAGTGATTAGAATATAAAACCTGCATGCATATGTCATCAGAGAATATGAAGTAGCAAATTACCTAAATGTAGGTTATTAACTCAGTACCTACTGCATTTTACAGTGGATTAGTTTCTCGCTCATGCCACAGGTTTAAGGATGGGAACTTGTCTCTTCTGATGCATCTTGTTCAGCTCATATTTTAAAAGCAAACATTACAAAGTTTTATCTCATCTGAGCATTACCAGATGTGGCTATTACTGGAGTGTTGTAGCACAAGTTGGCTGTTTATCTCTTAGAACACATTATCTACATAATAGCGAGAAAGATGCAACTGGAAAAAGACTTTGGAACATACGAAAAGGGAGAGCACGGACAGTAAATCCTAACTATTCTTCCTATCTTGTTTAAACAACATGTCTCTATATTTCAGCAAAGTCAAAAAGTATCTCTGGAAGAAAGGAATACAACTATAGCAAAATAAATGTGATGATTAAGATATAGTGTATGATTAATACACATCTGTATTTAAACAATTGTCTACTTATCGTGTCTTGCACTCTAGTGAAGAATGCAGAAGTCAAAGCTGAGAAGTAATCTCAATTCAGTAGCATAAACCTAAAATATTATTTAAACATACATGTTTTTAACTGTATGTCAATACATAGGATTGTTTGTCCCCAAGACACTAAATGTTTTCTGAACTGACATCACATGAACTATTTGTAAACTGCTTTTTTTGGCTGAACTCCCTGAAATTAATCCTGGATTGCTCAATTATTGGTCCTAATCCATAATGGCAAGAAGCTCTAGAACAAGCTAAAAAAAAACAAACACCAAAACAAAACAACCTTCCCCAATAATAGAATGTTTAAGATTGGAAGGGACCACAGTGGGTCATCTGGTCCAGCCTCCCTGCTCAAGCAGGGCCATCCTTGAGCACATGGCACAGGATTGTGTTCAGATGGTTCTTAAGTGTCTCCAGTAAGGGAGACTCCACAACCTCTCTGGGCAATCTGTTCCAGTGCACGGTCACCTGCACAGGAAATAAGTTCTTCCTCGTGTTCAGGTGGAACTTCCTGTGCCTCAGTTTCTGCCCATTGCCTCTTGTCCTATTGCTTGGCATCACCAAGAAAAACCTGGCTCTTGAGACCATCCCTTCGGATACTTATAAATATTGATGAGGTCCCCTCTGAGTTATCTCTTCTCGAGGCTGAACAGGCCCAGCTCAATCAGCCTTTCCTCATGAGAGAGATGCTCCAATCCCTTAATCATCTTTGTCACCCTCTGCTGGACCCACTCCAGGAGCTCCATGTCTCTCTGTCCTTTCTTTTGGAGGTTATTAGGCTCTTAAAGCAGACAAATTAACTTATATTTTTCCAGTCTCAGCAGCTGCAGTTACAGTTCAAAGTACTAATGTAAGCCAAATAATTTTACATTTCTTTACTATAGCAGAGTGTAAAGCATATAGTTGAGAAGGCAAATAAACATCCCTTTCATTATCTGTACTATTGAAATGGATAATCTCTGGCAGTGGCATCAGCCAGACGACTGCAAGCATGAATAATTTCAGCCTTCTCTGCTGAACCTATGAAAACAATTTAACACACCCAGCCCTACAGAAAAAAACAAACAACTTTGTAATGGAATATTGAGTTTCCAGGCACAATAGACCAAATCAGAATTAAAGTGAAATCTCAAGGGATTTGTTATTTGCTTTAAGGAAATTTCATCCCATGG